AAATCAAAAGAGATATGAACACTATCGCATAGTTATGCAACTTCTGCTTTGACAGAACAAGAAACCAACATAGAAGAATAGGCTACAAATAGATGTGGAGCTTTTGGTAAAACAAAGAACATCAGAAGACAACCCTGTAGGACTGCGTGCAAAACATGTCTTCCTATGTTTCTTTACAAAGAAAAGGCACAAAAACTAGGACACCAAATATTAAAATAGGTCAGACTGTAGCATGGATGTAGGGAAATAAGTCATCAAGTAGACACAGTTGCAACAAATGATACCTTAATTCTCTCATGTACTCTCCTTGTTCTTCCTCTGAATGGGGTGCTCCTCTGAGACCAAACCTACTCTGTAAGTTTCTTACATAGTATCATTAAATCGTAAATCTCTTTGATGTATCAGGGTTTTATAGGTCTTCACAGATTTATGAGTTAATCTTTCTGCTGCCTTTGCTATTTCATTGAAAACACATCTCATCCTGAAAATTGGGTTGAACTGGTCAACTGATATAATCAGGTTTCAGTGCTCTCGGTGAAGGAAATCACTTTTCGCCCCACAACGATGGATGAATCCCCTCAAATGTATTACATTTCGGAGTTTTGGACATGGTATTACATGTGGATGAAAAGTGGAGGCCAGCTCAGTTCTGTGATTTATCTTTTGCATATAGTAGATCTGAACTATGGGTACATCATTGGCTTTCTCATTGCAGCTAATAGGCCGTGATGATGGAGTTTAGAAAAGCCGCAGCGGAGTGTTTAAAATGGTGCAAGCGTAATTTCACTCATATCAGTCAAATCAAAACACGCATAAAGTCTTTGGTCCGACTCATAAAAACAGCCCAATTAATCTTGTTATGTTTTGCACTTCTGGTAATCTGATTCACTTAAAGTTCTAATGCATCCATAAACAGCACACCAATGTGTGCAGTGGTAAGCTATGCATAAGATTTAATTCAAGTTACTTCATGTAAAAGTTTAATGTACAATGATCACCTGGAAAATAGAAAAGTTGTTGTACAACTACGTCGTCCTAAAAAGACTTAATCAGAACAAAATATGCTAAAGTTAGATTTAAAGAAAATGAAAGTTGTTGTTTTTGGCTTTTATTAAACTTCATGCTAAAGCTGAACAAGAGCATGTTACATAAAAAAAACAACAACTAACTAACCAAATAACTAACAAAACACTATAACTATATATAGCAAAACTCCCTGGAAGCCATTATGGTTTAATGAAAATAAAGCCTAGTTTAATTAATTGTGTAATCCTCTTTAACCTTTCAAAATTTAGTAGGATTTATCATTAGAGCCTAAAAATGGAAGCTAAAATATATAGAGAGGGATTTTATTTTTCTTTCAATCAAATTGCTCATGAAAATGATGGACACACATATAAAGGATGGTTTCTTGTTTGCGTAGAGGAAAATCTGTCTTTAAAGAATATTGTATATGCAGGGCTCTTTCAAATGACTGTACAGATGTGCAGGGCTCTTCAAGTAAATGGATTTCTCAGCAGGAAAAATGTCATGCTTTTAAATATAAAATAATTGCCACCTTAAGAAAATATTCCGCATTGAGATGTATTTGTTTTCAGGAAAATCGCCCATGCTGAAATGAATAGCACCCCTCACTATTCCTACAAAAACATGTCATGGCATTTTCATGTATGTATTACTTTTTAGGCTGATTCGTTTCTGTCAATTAACAGGATCTATGGGGTAAATTTGTCCAATATTTCATGTTTAATCACAAATTGTTAATCCTTTCACTGACAATAGACACTGCATTCCCCATAAGCATATCTGGGTTTGTCAGAGTTAAAAAAAAAAAATAATTAAAATATCATGGTCAGTTAATCTACCTTCTTAAGGTGGCGTAAAGGTCATTAAAGTTCTCAAAGTTTCTTATAAAGTTTGAGCAAAGAAAATGTTTTCATTCATCGGTGAAAGCAACTAAAGTGATCTGACTTTTATAACACTATTTTTAAATATTACTTCAAGGCTGCAAAGCACTCAAATAATCTCTGACACCTTTAACTTGTGATTTAAAAAAAAATGGGTAGGAGACTTTCTGATCTCTAAGTTCTTTCCTCATAGAACAAGCTTCTTAAATCTTGGAACTAAACTCTAAGATCATATCAAAACAAGAACAGTTTCACCTGCTTTTAAGAGGCCTTCACATAAAAAGTCCACACTGTGCTCTTTGGTTTGATCCATTTCCTTTTGGAAAACCAGGATCTTTGCTTCCACTCTAAGCACCTTCAAGTAAGCACTTCAAACTTTATTGTAGTTTTAACTGTATTAAAAATCAAGGAGAAACACAAAACTTTGTGGCATTCACAGCTGTATTCAAGACTAGCCAGTAAAATAGCTTGAATGTGAAAATGTGTCACCTTTAGCTTTTACAACTTAACTGAGAAAGAAAACAAAAACGGGCAAAAATGAATGGATCAAATGAAATAAAGACAAAGTCTGAATCACTGGTATAAGTGTATAATAAAGTTTTGCAGCATAATACAACAGTACAGTGTTATGAAAATTAAAACTATGTGCCTCCTAATCACCTTCATGTTGTTATTCTGGAGCCATTAAGCAGTTTTACCTTAGAACTCCCACATAGATGACATTCAGTCAGTTTGTTATTAGAAAGTCATGAGCAATGACCTTAACTTGCATAAGAGACTCCTGCAATGCTTTAGATGTTGCTCTTAGTTCCTTTGTGTCCTCTAGGAGTTACAAATGCAGCCCTTGAGTAATTTCTAATAGGCTGGTCATTCCTGGGAAGGATAATCACTGTTACATGTTTGCATAATTTGTGGATGATGCATTACATTACTGAAGTTCTGAATCCTTAAAATGGTTTTGTACCTGGTTTTCATCTATGTAACACTATCCAGATTGTTAGGTGAGAATCTTGTTGTTTCGAATGTTCCAAAATTTCTTAACAGATATTGTTTTTTGAAATCCTTTGACATATAGTAGGCTGTTAGAAAAGTTGTTTTAAGAGAGTCAATTCATGATTATACAAGCAGGGTCTTAATTTCTCAAGAAATTTAATAATTATAAATCTACATTTTGTTTTATACTCTTTCAACTATACCTTGTTTTCAATCTGCTATGAATGCTTAACCTAATTAAATACCTCAATACAAACATATCTATAAACACATCACCAATAAAGAATCTTTTTTGTAATAAGGAATTTTGTTGAGACACTGCCTCAGTGTGCACATCTATTAAGACACAAATAAAAAACAAACGTATAGAAAAACAAAAGTGAGCGTCCCTACAGCAGACTCTGTAAATGTTAAACACACCATGAAAAAAACACAAAGCAGTAAATTTGTGCCATTCATGGACAAAAGCATATGCACACGGATATGTGAAACGGACATGTTAAACAGTTTATGAAATGGGCTGGTGTTTGATCTGATTGTCAGCGGGGGGGGATTGTTTGTGTACTGTATGTGATCCTGTTGTGTCTGTGTAATGGGCCGAGTATTTCTTACACTGTGGCGACCATTTTCCATAAATCATAGCACATAATGGGACAACCAGCTCCTGTGGGTACCAATGTATGTTCCCTATGGGTATAAATGACTAAGAAGACTAAGGAGTGAATTGAGTTTAGATATTAGGGTTAGGTATGAACTTTTAGGGCAAGGGTCTGCAACCTGTGGCTCGGGAGCCACATGCGGCTCTTTGGACCCTCTTCAATGAATCTTAATAGTGGCCAAAAATGATATGAAGAACTAAATAATGTTCTATACGAACAAATTCTTTTGTGGTTTTTATAAAACATTTAGGAAAGTACAACAAATATGATTTAGAGCTATTTTCCTTTAATTAGCTTGGAAAACAGGTGTTTTATTGTTACCATTTTTTTTTTATAATTTTTGTTTACTTCAAATAATACCTACAGAAAAAATCCATGCTTCAGTTTTATGAAACATTTTATGTCTTTCCTTATTTTAAAACAAAAAATACAAATAAGCTCTTGGTTGTCTGAAATAGCAACAGATCCTTATAGCAGATATTTAACAAAAATAATAGGATGTGTTTTTTATTTAAAAAATCATGTTGTATTTTGTGGCTCTAAAGTTTTAGTTAGCTGGATTCAGGGCGAAATGGCACTTTATATATGAAAGGTTTCAGAGTCCTGGTTTAGGGTAAGGGTCACGTTTAGGCTGCAGACAAGGGTAATAAATGAATGAAAGTCACAGGAAAGTCCCCACAACACTAGGAAAATATGATTGTGGTTGAGTCTCTGTTAGGGTAAGATGGGCCTTTAGTGTCTGAATGGAGGGGTTGATCGTCTTTACAGTTGGGAAAAGGATTAACTCACTAAGCCAGCTATTGACAAGTTTTCGGTAAATGATATTCCAGTTATACCACATTCAGTTTCCCCTATGAATGAACATAAGAAAGGATTACATGTAAAGGGATATGTGAGTGAGTCAACATTTCTGTCACAGCAGTGTATATATCGGTAATACTTATTAATAAATAAAAATAAAAAAATCTGGCACCTAAGATTACGTTGTAGCCCAAACTTCCTGTATTACAACATTGATTTCCGAGGCACAGAACAGATTGACACCCAGAGCTGCGAAAACACTTTTTTTAGCATCAGAGTGAATTGAAGTCGTCATCCTTTTACCATGTAGTGTGTCAGTATCAAATGCAGCATTGCTGAAACAGCTCTGTTATATAACTTCTCTGCAGCAGGTCACAGACTCCCTGTTTGCAGCTGTGTCTGGAAAAGGTGTGGTTTAACGCAGGCAGTGGCTCTTGCTGAGAGGGCGTTCACAGAAGGAAAAGAAAGCTGAACGGGGGCAGCCAGAGGTTAAAGGTCAGATGATGATGCCCCCCAACCCCCTGTAGACAACATTGTCCAAGGAGAGGGACTTCATCGGTATCTGCTCAGTTAGATTGCTCTATTCCCCACACCCAGAGACCCCCAGAGAGAGAGGGGAGCCAGATAAACACATATTTACCATTAGGGAACAGCTGTGGGGCTGCCTTGGACTGGACACTCCTCTCTCCTGCATGCACACATACACACATGCACACACACTTTAGTTCTCAGCACACTTGAACTGTACAGGGCAAATGTGAGGTAACAATATTTCCTCCCTGTAAATCATTTTGTTGAAGTTTACGTTTGTAGATCTTCAATAACCTAATTGGTTATATATGTTTTGGCTATATTTATAGAACAAAGGATGTACTCACACAGGGTCTTTAGTAACTTTTCATACCCCAAGAACTCTTCACATAAACAAAACCATAATATGTCTGGTATTTTGCATTTGGATTTTTATGTGGTGATCCATCACAACATAGGGCATAATTGTAAGGTGAAAGAAAATTTTGTTTTCTACATCAAAATAAACAAGTATGGAATATGTGGCCTATATTTGTTTTACCTCTCTCTACTTCAATAACCCCCCCAAAAAAACTAGTTACTTTACGAATTAATAGAGAACATTGCTTAAACAGTATGATTACATTATGATTAGAAGTCCAATGAATACAGCAGACAGCTCAGAGATAGAGGTGTGTGCTGATTTAGGTTGTAAAGCAATATATTTATGTAAGCAGCCCTGTTCAAACCATAATCTTATAATGGAGTACAGCACTACTGCACACCTAAGAAAACATGGCAGTCAGATGACACCTCTGGAGGAGCTGCAGTGATGGACAGCCCAGTGGGGAGAGTCTATTGACACATTCTGACAGGCCCGAGTTTACAAATCTGACATTTATTGCCATGGGCTATAGGGACATATGAAGCATTTAAAGGAAAGATCCCTGTTATGATAAGTAGGTCCAAAAAGTCTGTTTTTAATGCATGCTTTGACTACTGAAAAATTAACTCTGATGTAGACAGAACTCAAAGGACAGAGTTATTATAAAAAGTGCAAATACAAATTGATGATTTTTTTAAAATTATGTGACCTATTTTAAAAAAGAAAAGTGAGTAAAGTTTTTCTTTCTAGATGTGTGAAGCTAAACCTTGCACTGAATTGTAAAACTAAAAAAGTAAAAATAGCAATTTTCTTTCACTTCACAAATCTGCACCATGTGTACTGGTCTATCAAATAAAATCATAATAAAATGCATAGAGTTTATAGTTAAAAAAAAACAAAGTTTACAGGGTATGAATACATTCTAAAACACTGCATGTGATGCTTGGTGAAAAATCGTCAATTATTGTAAGGAATAATTGACGTTTAACAACAGTGCTGTGATCTAATGCTCTCCTTATAGATGCTGAACATCAACTATGAATTTACTAGCCTACGGCATGTAACTGAAAACCGAGCATTTTTAGCTGTTTCAACTTTGTTTTGTTTTAATGTATGATAAAATACTTACCACAAGCTGTCATCAAGCTAGCTAACCAGAACCAAATTTTACCTAAGCTTTGTTGCTGGTGCTGCCATGACCAGTATTCAGCTTTCCTTGAACTACATCTATTTCAGTTCAGTTCAGAATAATAATATTTTGATTGTTAAAAAAATCTACTTCACAGTTTTTTCATCAATAGTAACAAAATAACAGCTCCAGCACACCTGACAACTCTTGCTGATATTGATTTAATCAAAATAAAAAAAGCTTCAAATGGAATTTCTGATAGATTAATATCAGAAAAGTAATTAAAAATTTTTTTCAGTAAATTATTTATTTTTAATCTTTGTTAACCCCATCAGGAGATGACAAAGACATGACAGGAATAAGGTGATTTTCTGCAAGAAATTAGATACAGCCTGTCTTCTGTCATAACTCAACAGACATCAGCTATATGCTAAATCCTGAGAACAAAGTGATAATGACAGTTTTTCTTTCCCTAAAGTGACAGAAAAGGTGACATTTCAAGGCAAAAGTGTTACCTCGCAACATGCAGCCATGCAAATAAATGTTCCCAAACCCTGCAGACAAAAAGCCATTTTTGTTGTTTGCGTGTGAGAAAAGGCTTCTGCTGGTTAGTATTAGTCTTGACAGACAGACCAAGTGGTTAGTGCTGCAAAAGCTGAAATTCAGGGACAGCCAGAGTCAATTCTGTACATCATGATGTCTTTTATGTTTTTTTATGGTCATATTATATATGAATATATTTTTGTTTGACCTGACAGAGCTTGTGTTGCCAGTAAAAGCTTCTAATTTATCTTAATTTATCCAATTTATTTAATTGAACTGTACACCTGTCCTGTGCAGAGTTCTGAGTATCCTCTGAGCTCAACTCAATTAACTTCAATTAACTTATTTTATTTAGGATCAACTTTGACAGTGCTGATGTATTTGCAGCCCTCTAACTTGACACTTTTTGTCACATTACAAGCAAAAGCTTTAAAGTAGTGAGTTTTTTCTGCAATGGGAGGGAGCAATGCTTTATTTATTCTTTTTATCTAAGAATTATGCCATTAAATTGTAGTGAATCCCCACGGAGTCAATATATTTGCAAATCTTTTGGGCTGTCATTACAAGTTTTGGACATTGAAAAACAGACATGTTCTTTTCAAGACAACTCAAACAGCATATGATGTGATCAAGATTTTAATCACTTTCAGTCTTGCCATATCTCATCTACTAGATTTATATCTAGACTATGATTGGATCATTTCAACAGATGATTGCTTTACCAAATCATTCTATTGTAGCTATAGCTGAAAGCTTTATGTCACCATGTTGAAAAATTTAATTTCTATTTCGCCTTACAAAATAACTATCTGACTATCTTTGGTAGAGCATCACCACAGCATAATGCTGCTACCACCTTGTATTGCCATAGAGATAGCTTGTTTAGGGTGGTGTGTAGAGTTAGTTTTCAATCTCACATAGCATTTATCATGTCCGCAGAAAAGGTTTGGTACCTTCTGACTAGAGCACCTTCTTCCACATGTATAATGTGTCCTTTCAAAATGGCTTGATCTTTTTGTAAGTGATTTACTGTGACAGTTAATCAGCTTCTCTTTGGTCTCTATGATGCTGTTTTGGTATATTTATTTATTTATTAAACTTCTGAGGCTTTAACAGATAAGCTGTTATAATGAGGAGACTGAAAAAAAATGAGATCAACATTGTTTACTTCTAAAGCCATTTGGTTGCACTGGACTTTATTAAGGGTAGCAAAATAAGGGAATATATATATATATATATATATATATATATATATATATATATATATATATAGATATATATATATATATATATATATATATAGATATATATATATATATATAGATATATATATATATATATATATATATATATATATATATATATATATATATATATATATAGATATAGATATAGATATTTATATATATATATTCAGGCGAATTATTGGACTACTTTTGTAAAACATTGTTAGAAAAATATATCTATATAAGGAATTTACATTTTCTACAATTGCCGCCTAAAACACTTTTAGGTGGCAATTGTAGGGCTGCATGATATCAGGAAAAAAAAAATGCCATATGGTGAACGCTATGACAAAAATATGACTTTTAATGAAATAATTAAACCATGTTAATCTCATTCTCTACTAAGTTTATAGTTTAACAACACAGCTTGATTGTACAAGCTGCTTCTCGCTGTCTTGAGAGAGAAAAAAAACAAATTTAGTTGCAGTGTTTTCATGAAGTGACCACCTTACCAGTTCTTTACTCTATGTTGTGTTAAACATGGCTGGCATCAAGGGCCTGAGGGCATGGTACATATAAAAATATAACATTTATTGCAAACTGAGCAGGCCTCTCTGATATGAATCCTGCATACAGAAACACTAGCATAATGTCAGATAACATGGTTTGTAAATTTGGTCTATAAATTATAATTTCATTGTTATTGCTATTTTATTCCTGAAAACTTTTTTTTACAAGATATAATTATGACCAAATAAACAAGAGTGTTTCTCATCATGGCATCTACAGTTGGCCCTTTTCAGGTTAAATAAATAACACCAAGAAGCATGCGTGGTAGAGGACATTTCCCTGATCCAACATGCAGCATCCAGAAACAGTTTTGCAAACACAGACTGGAATATGGACAACCCAAAATGAGAGCAAAGCATTTACCTTTAGGACCTAAGGATGTGTGCTGCATGAGTTAACATACATGCCATGTGTGCATGCATGATATGTTCTGCAGGTTTGTGTGCCAGTTGTTTTTATGGTTTTCATTTATAAAATGCATCTTCCATGAACTTTGTGCTTTGCGTGGTGTTCCCTACTCTTCAGATGACTGAACTCCTGAGCCGGTCTGCATCTGCCTGCTATTTGTGAGTGTTTATTCTTTGCTGTGCTAACGACATAAATACTTCCACAACATGGCTTTTCATCTCTGATATCTGAACTTTCTTGATACACACACCATGAATAAAGCAGTACAGAAAAAAAAAAAACAATCTTCAAAGAGTTTGCATTCGTGCATGTTTGGTCTGAGGGATGACAGTGTATGTTCTCCACTCATACAAGCCTTCTAACTGCAGTATGCATGGCACAGAAGTGAAATAGGTAGGATTAAAAACAGGGAGTAATCAAACTGAGCAACGTGTAATGAATTGTTAGAAAATGCCTGAGCAATCTTTGTTTTAGGAGAACCGCAACAAACCAAATGATTAAAAATGTGACAGAATACCGATAAAATCTCTTGAAAAATTGACTGATGATCTGCAGCATACCGAAGAATCCACCAGCTGAACAGCAAAGGCTGAAAAAGCAAATCAGGAATTTCTGTGGGATTTAATATGCTAAATGAACTAGCTTACAAGAAAGCATAACATATATTATTTTGAGAGTATGTAACATAAAGGCCTGTATTAAGTTTTCAGCATTTCTAACTGTAAGCTTTGCCCAGGAATAAAATCAGATCTCATGATTAAATATGAAGGGAATTCTTACCTTCTGATTTTTTATTTCATACAACTAAGGAAAATAAACTAAAATGGGTATGTACGCTATGATTTGGATTTTTAAAATCTTTCAGCTTCTGGGACATAAAAAAAAAAAACTTTTTAAAACTGAAAACCCTATAAAGCTTTAACAGTGCAGAAATCCCTTATTTAGAAAACACCATCATTCTTGCCATTCCATTTTTTTTCTTCAGCAGTTTATGTGTGTTTGTTTTAATTGAGACTTTATTAAGTAATACAAAAAATAAGAACAAAATGCCCACGAGTCAGCCACAAAGAATGGCTCCCTCACCACTGCAACCCCAGACTCTGTGGGGATATCCGAGATTTTAACTGGCTGACTGCTTCCTAATCTGGCACAACAAACATGAATTTGCTCTTCCTCCAAAACGGCTGGCAAAGATATATAATTTGGTTGAGGTCAACTTTGTGGTATCGTTCTGGCATACGAGGATACAACAATAATGACAGGTTGGCTGACCAGACATGGACATGGGTCTGGCTCTCATCAGAGCTGCGGCTGTGAAAGGGATCCTGAAACACTGAGCTAATCAGGCCCTACTCAAGCTATGCTCTCAAACTTAACAGCCACCGAAACCGAGCACACACGTCACTACGGCTGTGCTGCAAACACACTTTCCAAAATCAATACTGTGTTCATTCTGGTTCAAAATAGCTCTCATCCAGCCTATTAAAGCTCTAATTTTAACGTTGTAGAACTGCAGTAACACACTGCTTTATCTAAAATACTTCTCCCTTTGATTACAAATCGTGCAATGAAAAGTTTGCATTTGCATACCCATGAAACCTCTTCACATTGTCTTGGAATATACCAAAGACTTAAACATGTCATTTTGTGTTGTTTTGCATGTTAGACAAAAAATAAAATCAATGTGTGATAGTCATCTCTACCTCTATATTCTTTTATTACCTTTTTTCAGCATTTGGCTCACCCTGATGGTTTCCTTTCTCATGAAAAAGAGCATTATCATAGCCAGGATGCATTTTAAAGCAAACATCTGTATACATCAAATTTGTCATGATCACTGCCGTGATAGCCGACCTCTTTGCTCATTCACTCACCTGCCTAACTCTGCCTGGTTACCCATTATCATTCATCTCATCCACCTGCTTCTACTGCTTTATATACAGCTCAGTCCCAGCTATCAGGACCAGATCATTGTTTTGAGTTTGAGTCTTTTGAGTTCATAACTGATGTTTTTTGCCCATGTTCCCATTCTCCGAGGCCAGTGGTGAGAGAGGTTTTTAGTCTTGTCATAGTATTTCTGATCATGTCAAGTTTTAGCGTACTGTAGTTTTAGCGTTCCTGTTCATGTCAAGTTTTAACATACCATAGTTTTCCTGTTATCATGCCTTGTACTGCCTCTCAACTACTGAGCTTGCCTGTTCCCATCTGAAGGTTCTGCCTGAACTCTCTCTTGGACTCATGGAACCCTGAACCTACCTGAACTGTCTGTGGATTCCTGGAACCCCATAACTGCCTGTTCCTGATCTGATTGGAACCCCTATGAACTCCTGGATCTCCCAGCCTATCGGTCCTGAACTGCTTGGACTCCTGCCTGTTCATCTGGTTTTAATCTGGGCTGCATCCGCCGAATCTCGTTGGTTATCCATCAGCTGGATTCTGCCTCGCTCTGAGAGGATGGACTGAAGTGTTAAACCAGATAAGTGACTCACATGGATAATCATCTTACGTCAGATTATCATGTCTCCCGCCTCCCCACCCGCAGCTGCAGTAGATCCACAGCCCCGCGTTCTGTTTGTTTTAATAAATGCTTTGAATCTTCCCATTGTCTGTCTCGCCTCGAATATTGGGTCCTAAGTTCTGAGCTTATGACAAAATCTTGATATATAAATATTTTTAGATATTCCAGAGAAACTTTTTAAAGTCCACAGAAAGCAATTCTGCTGTTTAAAAAATGTTGTAATTCTTTCTGTAATTTCTTTCTATGTCAATGGGACATTGTGGATAGATGAGAATTAATTCTTACAAGAAGAAACTCTCATTCTTTGCATTTATTTTTATGCCAATGGTGTGTTTTTTATAGATTAAATAAAGTATTTTGCTCACTGCTCATAATTCTCTTTCTTTGGGAAATTCAACCAAGTCCTGTGAACTACCCTGATGTGAAAGCAGTCTGAGTTTTGAATGAGCCATTATAATATATTCATCTGCTTGTTTACAGTCACTGTCATGCAGTCTCACCTTTCAGAACAGGTCTCCCTCCCTTATTTTCATGTATCTGTCTCCATCTATGTTTTACTTAGCTCTGACCCTATCCCTAGTGCATGACATCCCTGCCTCCATGTTTCGTGATGGAGACAGGACCGCTAAACATTGTTTTAATTGAGGTTTAAAAATGTAATGCTATGTCCTATGCTGATGATGGAACCTCTAACACCTATCTTTCAATATTAGCTGCCTCTTTGCCAGATAAATGCACTGAAGGTTGTTCGTCTTTCTCCACAGTTACTTTGGGCCCCAATCCCAACCCCCCACTATGCACTAAACCTTCACCATCGAGTGCAACTCCTGATGAAGTCACAATTGCAGCAAAGTAAGGCTCCTTGATTGAAGCTGAATGCTATAAATGAGAATGGGACACCCTCTACACTGTATGGATGTGTAGAGGATGGGTATCGCTTTCTATGAATATTGTCCTTCTAATACAAATAATGCATGAGAAACTGGTGCTGCAACCCCCCCACCCTCCACTACTTCGAATGGGGTGTTTGAGTAATTTCACAAATCTGTCAGCTCCATTTTTCAAACAAACACAATAAAACCTGTAATCAAACATTTGCCCCTTTCTTGAAAATAAATGTAAACAGTCAAATAAAACTTTCAAATAATCATTTTTTTAAATCAATGGCATCATTTTGCTTTGATTTTCTGTCAGTGTGACAAAGATGCAGTAAACCTGTGGAACTTGTATTTTAATGCAGGTGTTTCCTGCGTCATTAGGTCACCGTTACGCCCACTGCCAAATTCGGGTTAGCCTGCACTGATGCAGATCGCTATGGGCTGAACAGTCCACTCACCCTACCCACTACATGGTTTGGGGTGGCTCTTAATATGGTAAAGCCAAAGATGCAAAGGGAAGGTTAGTGATCAGGGCTATTCTTAAGGGGCCGATGCTCTGTCAGATCAGCATACCCCGTCAGACCAGCATACCAATAGTCAATATGCATGCGCAAGACGTCAGATTTGCAAACGTCTAACACTATAAGTGGAAGGAAGTCTACTAGGCTACATTATTTATGCATGATATGATAAACAAAAAGTTGTAGTTGTATGTAAAGCATACTGAAAGTCAGGTTGGCTAGTTAATTTATAAAAGTTAAAAGTTTTAGCCTGAGGTAAACAGAATTTAAAGCTATAAGGCTTTAAACACAGACAGCCTCGCTTTCTTTGTTCGCTATTTAACACTCTGACGTAGCAGCTAACCTGTCAGATTGTCATACAAAGTTTAAGTGCATGTTGATTTTGACAGGCTGATCTGCAAATGTAACAGAATTAATTTAAATATTTCTTTCTGCATGTGTGCGCATACGTATTACCATGGCTATGCTGGTCTGATGGCGTATGTTGTGGCAGACCTGACAGAACACTGGTATGGGGTTGGACCTGGGTCTCTGCTGCACCTCTGATGACTAACCTTGTTGCCTCTTGCATGTCATTTAGATGCTAGGGCCATTTTTTGTAGAGTTACAATTGCATTTATCTGTTTTGGTTTGTTTTTATTGTGATTTTTGTGGGGGAGTTGGGGAAAAGCGTTAAGTACTGTCCATTAAATTCGGCCTAACTTTACCCCTAGCCTTTCTTAGATGACTTCTGAAGGCAGAAGGTTAACTTTTGCAAGTTGGGGGTATTAAAGTGTAGGGAGGCTCAATACGAATGCATGCCATTTTTATTTATATGAAATAAAGCATCAAATACTTATGTCCATTTCACAATTCTACAATACTATGTGTTGGTGTATCACATGAAGTTCATTAAAACAAATAGACTAACTGTAATTAGTAAAAGTTAAAAGTGTATAAAGATTTCTGCAAGGTACTAGAGATAAAAAATGGGTAACACTGCTACATTGGTCCTAAATTGGCACCAGTTTTATTTCTTTTTCTCTATCACCCTGTGCGGAATACCAGCAGTTCTCTGCATGGCTAAACACATCCATCAAGCACTGTGCTTTTACTCTTCAGCACAGACTCTGTCTGGTTAAAGAGTGCCCTTCAGAACAGCTCGATGTGACCAAGTAGCCAATAGATTTTCCCTCAACTCAAGTCAACTGAAGCAAACACTGATACATGCCAGCAGAAGGTTAGATCAGGTGTATGAGTTAATTCCGGACAGGAAGCAGTGAAGGAAATGACCCACAGGTTGATAGAGGGTGTGTGTTTCTGACATGACTGCAGAAAAGTATTAGAAAAAGGCAAAGTCCAGCATAAAGTCAGAGAAAGAAAGGCGAACGCAGATGCAGGAGCAGGAATGTCACATTGAGGGAGCAGTAGAAGACCAAAGTTAACGGTAGCCCTTTGACCTTGCATGTCACGGATCATTAGAAAAGCTAAAAAATATATCTTTAAATGTAACAAAGCTGGTTTTCCAGCTTGCATTTTATCACTTAAAAAAACAGAAAAACTTTGAAATGCTAATTAAAATTGCTCTTGGAAGTGCAGAGGTTGATGTGTTGCAATTTCCTCATTCAACAAACATATTTCCTGCCATTTGGGTTTTTTTCGGGATGAGATGACTCACCTACACAAGTCTTTCCATCGCTGTGGAGGACAAACTTCATGTGGCAGGAACATTTGGGGCCATGGTCCGTCTCCTCGCAGATGTGCTGGCAGCCTCCATTGCCGTAGTTGCACGTCACTATCAAAGGAGGCAGGAGTAAACACGAGCTAATTAAAGAGGAGCATACACACAAGTTTTTGTTGAATTTTTAACAGTCAGCAAGGAGGTGTCAGGAAGTGGAGACCGAGTAAATAACATGCAACTCTTTCACTGGGCCATATGCTGTATCGTGTAAACACTGAACTTCAGCTGCACCCAGTCGCTCCCGTGGCATCAAAGCCCCATACAGTAAGGTTTGTTGCAGAAGGAGGACTTAAATCACAGCAAAGATCATGACAAGCTAGCAATTGCAGAGGCACTGAATGTTAACAAAATTCCCTGTGTTTTAGAAACTAAACTTCAGCCCTATTTAAACAATGCTAAAATCATGAATTTTGTTGCTTAGTAAACCTTATTAAAGCTCTTTATGTGATAAACAGAAGAAAATCTGTTCCTGATGTTTTATTTCTCGTGATAATACGTAACCCTCTCACTCAATAGAAATAAAGTTTTAAATATAGGTAAAACTGTAATGTAAAGCATGTATTTAAGCAGTGCATACAAGAAAAGAAACATCTAGTGTTTATACTGAGTAGTGCATATTTAATTAAAAAGGAAATTCTTTATAGTAAAAAAGCAAAGACAAAAAATCAACAGGAATTGTGAATGATTGGCGTTTGTTAAAAGGGGGCATTTTCACAAGGTTTAGGCACATAAAGGTAGATATATTATGAGTCTTCCTCTGTTTGCTATGTTTTACACTTCTCTGCAATAAATGTATCATCATTTCCGTTGAATTTACCTCAACTCTGGCAAATTTTTTAATTTTACTGAATAAATGAATTGTCCATAAATGTAGTGTTCAGGTCTAACAGAATGCTAGTCTGAACAAAAGTGCCTTCAAGCTACTTTTCAAAACAACATAATAAATCCTATTCTCATGTGAAGGAGTACACAGAACTAGTCAGAAGTCCCAGAAGTTTTATGCAACTTTCACAGGTTCACCTTTGTGTTGTTTGTATCAAAAAACAATTTTTATCGTCTCTAAAACAATTGCTTGCAAGTAGATTGCATCTTATGGTTGAGACTCTTTTATAACCAATTGCAAACTTTTGTAGCAGTTCTCTAACATTTAAGTCCAGAGATGATCTGATTAAATGTTTTATGAGTACATGGACATCATCTGGAAACTTAATGTCTCACTGCATTCATTTCAAGGTAAGATTCATCCAAGATCATTCACAGATCTTTTCATATCTGACCTTTGGCAGTTTTTATCTTTCTAGAGATCAATACTACACACAGTAATAGTATATAAAACCTATAAACTTAACAGATCTGTGTCTGTCTAGAATCATGCTGTACTTAGAGAATTAATTGCCAATACAGTCCTAAGATTTGATATAAACAATTCAAACAGATCATTATCTGTATAGAACCACACTAAAACTACTTAAGATGTCATTATTTTATGTTAAGAGCAAGCCTTCCCTTTTAAGTGAGATGTGAGGTTTGGGAAAACCTATCCTCAAAATCCTGCTTTATCAGGAAAACGGGGGCAGCAATCTCAGTAGAGATGACAACACTTAGCTCTCCATAGACACCTTCTTAGATGTCTGGGAAGAGGGAATGTCTCTTGTGTTTTCTCTAGATGAAGCCTGAGACATTCCTAGGCTAGCAGTGAGACATACCGCCTCCAGCATTGCCTCAGCTATCCCCTGAGCTTCCATTTAGTTGGACATTCCTAGAACACCTCCCGAGGGAAGTCTACGGGGGTGACCAGAAAGAGATGCCTGAGCCACCTCGGCAGACTGATTTAAATTTGGAGGAACAGCAGCTCTAAATCGAGTCTTTCCCCGATAACTGAGCTCCACATATTATCTCTAAGGATGAAAGCAGCAGACACCCATTTTTTTTTAGCCTTTTTACATCTGAGATTTTGTTCTTTTATGACCACAGCTGTGGGTGGTGACATATACTGTAGAGTAAATTTAGAGCCAAAGAACAAAAAGGCTCAGCTCCCTGATCACCAGAAAGGATCTGTGCCGCGTCTATGTTACTCCAGCAGGCGTACAGGTCCTACTGTTGATCTCCCACTTCTTTCTCTCCCTCACAAGAGATACTTGATCTCCTTCTCTAGAGGCAGCAGCTGTCTCCTGACCTGGAGAGGACACAATAGTCTTTTCTTATCACAAACCCTGGGTTCAGACTTGGAGAAGCTGATTTTTAACCATGCCAATTCCCAGTTGGTTATGAACCGACCCAGAGGATGCTCTGGGTCTTGGCTAGGGGTGAGCCAACAATGTAATTTGCATAAAGATAAGCAATCCACCAGTCTCCTAACATAATCCCCTCCGGTCCATAACTGTGCCTAGAAATCCTGTCTGTTAAAGTTCTGAACAGGACCAGTAACAGGATGAGGTCTGACTTAGGAACCAGACTCCTACTCTGCTTAACAGTGGTAATGGGGCCCCTGACTCCTTAATCTTGGAGTGCCCCCCACTGGGAACCAAAAGGGACATGGTCCAATGCCTTCTAAAGATCCATAAACTTATGTGGACTTCCTGGGCAAGTTTGAATGAAACCTAAAGCTCCCTGCAAAGCTACAGAGCTGATCCCGTGTTTTACAGCCAAGAATAAAAACCACACTGTTCCTCCTGAGAATAAGTCAGACTCGTCTCTGCAGCCCTCTGACGAAACAGAAGCCTCCACAACTATTTCTTGATGTCAGTGCATTCATGTTTTTTATAATACATTGTGAAGTAACTCAAATTTATTTTAATGTTTGCAAAACCACATATTTCACCATGACATTATCTATGAAAAAAAATGATTATTTAAGAATGGGATAGTGTCCAAGGACTCCAAAATCTCTCCCTAAATAAACAAAATACTGGTTTATATAGACAGAAGATTAGCTAAAGACAAATGAGGAATTCTTTTTTTTTTAATTACAAGAAAAACCCTTCTGTGTTCCGCACTAGATTTCAGTCTGTTCTGTAAGATTAAAAGTTACATTTAACTAGCATAATACATTTTGGAATTTAAATGTTTTAAATTTATTACCAGTATCTTCTGAATAAATAAAGAAAAAAAAACCACTTGATTTCTACTGCAACTATGCTTGTTTCTGTGAAGCACATTTTTGTAACGGACCATATGAAGAGTTTAACCTTTCGAACAAACCTGCGATGACAGAGTGAAAAAGAGCACGACAGAGCCAAGGCTTCCATCGTCATCCTGTCTGCACTCTCCCATCCCGACACCTTTTGCCTTTTTCCTGAGCTGTCACTGAAAAACCATAGAATAACACTTCTCCAATCCTTATCCAAACACAGACAAATCCCCCCACCCTGTCAGGTCTCCAACTCTGTCAGGATGATCTCTGCTGCACAGCAACAGGAAGTGTTCTTCGTCCATCCGAGCAGTCCCCTTTGACTGACCTTCAAACTTGCCCTGGTTGTGTAAATGATTCCTTTTTATTTGAAAAACATGTCTGGCGTTTGCTTTTTAACGAATCAATGACAAGATTAGTCAGAGTTTGGTAATGCTGCATAGACGTCAACTTCAACATTTTTTTGGAAGACATTTGTGCGGTGAGCGTGATTATCCATCATCAGTCGGCTTCCAAACCCCAATCCCTTTCTTCCCGAGGAGTGTGTAAAGCAGCCGTGCTGATGTTTGTGCATGTTTGCATGCAACCCTTGGAGTTGGGATGACTTACATTTGCAGTCCTTCATGTTACGGGTGAGCTGGAATCCAGGTCGGCATTCACAGGAGATGCCACCCTTCTGTGCTTCCCTGCAAATGTGCGCGCAGCCGTGGTTCTTGTCCATGCAGGTGGGCCCCTCCTTTGTGCCTTCTGGCTGCACTGTGAAGAAAACAGCAGTATATATAGGGAGAAAGTTTATCTCTCAGCTGCCATGAAGATTAGACACTGTTGTTAAATCACTGAGCATTCAGTAAACAGAGAGTTTGGTTTATATTAAATATCACAAAGATGTTAAGTGGACTACAAAAATTCAGATGCCTGTCACGCATTCTGACCCAAGGAGTTTCATATGCCTGCTGGTGATTGACATACTCAGCATCCCTTCACAAAGATGTAAGTTCTTGTTGGAGCATGCTTACTGTTTCCAGGCAATAAAAAGAAAGGCTGCCAAGAGAAATGGATAAAAATCCCAGTAGGATATAATCCCAAAAACCTGTAATTTTAATTGGAGTATTCCCCATATGAAGAAAAGAGACATGGAGCACAAAAAAACCCCGCAGCCAGCAGTATGAGACCAAAACTCATTCCAGTAAATTAAGGTTGTCAGTGCACTCTTTAAAGACTCATAAAGGATGACCTACATCTTTAAGTATTTGACTGAACTGTTGCAACACAGATTTCAGAAAGAATGTAGAGTCATTATTCCATTGCTGAGTACCTGAAGCCATCCAAGGCCTTAAAACAAATTACATAAGAATCTACGCAATCATTTACTACCACTTTAAAACATCAGTATAAAATCCTTAAAAAAATGTTTCTTATGAAGACTCCCTGACTGGACAGTGCAGTAGCACTAAAAGGTCATAAAAGGTCCTCTGTGCAGTCCTCTAATAGTAACCATCTGTGATTTGATTTTTTTCACCTTTGTTACCATCTTCCTTGCTGTGCATGGTGTCAAACTGAGTTGGATATTTGTCAAGAATTGTAATTTGAGGTTCAATTTCATGCATTTATTTTTGTTAAAGCTCTGACTGTAATTGTTAAGTGTTTAGGAAATTACCTTTGCATTTAACCCATCCCCTTGGGGAGCAGTGGGCTGCCATTGTGCGACGTCTGGGGAGCATTGTGGGAGTTAAGGGTTTTGCTCAGAGACCCAGAGTGCTGGCTGTGGGGATCCTAGCAGGTACTAGAACCCTCTCAGAGCACAAGTGCACTGGTCTAACCACTAAGCCAACACTCCCCCAATTTTAAGTAATTCCCCTAAATGTGTATCGTTAACTAGACCTAGATTCTTATATGGCTTTTTGTCAAAAGCTGCTTTTTTGCCACTTCCCATGAAGGGCAGACTTTACTTGCATGACAGTTCTCCTTGTCAAGTTGGGATCGCTGCAACAGCCAAGGAGATAATGAACTCCTTGGCTGGACTATCAGTCAAGATGGACAGCCACATCTTTCCAGAGTTGTACTTGTGCAATGCTTTTTTAATGTTCTAATTACAGATTAAATGGTGATTAAATGATGTTACATATGGTGGACTCTCCCAACTTTATCCTGACTGCTGTGATCCTTGCATTTCATGATGCTGTTTTTAAATAATATTCTCTACTCTACCTTTGACACATGAGATTATACTGAGATTAAATTACCAAAAAGGTAGACTCTACAACTACGAAAGACTTTGGCTGCATTTGATTTCCTTTAAAGGGTAGCAGACCAAAATAGGCTGACTACAACTGAACACCACAAGTTTGATATTATGTTGGAAAAGTTTTATAATGTTGAAGTGTGATAAACTATATGTCCATTCATACTGATAGCATGAATATTGAGTTGATTTTTTCAGGTAATGCCAATCTAATCAAGAATGCTGACCTTCTGGCTAAGGTGCTTTCAATCACTTTAAGTCTGTCAACAAGCATCAGAAAGTTATGCAAATGCCCCCCATTTTCCTGCCAGAGATGTTTACATCCTGACAAGAGGCTAAGCTCTCAGACATGAACACTGAAAGGAAAAGGCCACGCTCAACTGAAAGTGCTTTAATGTTTCTGATGCTTTAAAGAATGACATTTCTGACAGTAAGCCACCAGAAAGCCTTAATTAATTATGGAGACTCTGGTTTCTTTTCTCTGCTTCTATCTGCAACCAGAGCAGAAAATATTTCTCTATTTAGACCAGAGTAAATTTCCTGCTGCATGAAGCGCTTTATGATTACTGCTCAAGGTGGATATCAGAATCCATAACCTCATATGAACATGAATGTAACACACCCTTCAATTTATAACACGCCAGACTGAGGCCTTCATCTCTCAGTGGACCGATTTAAACCCAAGTGTTGACATGATGGGGCCAGATTCAGCCATCATCTGCCAGCAGCACATCCCAGTAATATGTATCCAAGAAGCTTGTTTTTATTTCAACGCCAGAAAAGAGAAACTGGTATTTTGTTGCAATAAAACAAGCTATCAGTCAATCAAAGTTTCTGCTAAGCAGAGAGTCAAATTTTATACATGTTAAAGAACAGATCTTATTCAGAAATCTGGACAGGAAGTAGAGTTGGAGCTGAGTGAAGTCAATTTGAATGTCATTTAAAGAGCAAATCAGAAGGGATATGGGTTTAAAACTGAGAGGAGCAAATCCTGCGCACTAGAAATGCTACTGCACACCCAATAATTAGATATGTTTCTAGGCGGGGGTTTCGTGAATCCCTTTTTGATTAGCTGTGAGTCAAATCTAACAGATTGTATCCTAGGTTGCATTTAGGGAACGGCTTATTTGCTAGAATATCAGGCAAAAATAATTAAATATGTTTGATATCCCCCGATTTGGGGTCAAATCAATTGCACTGTCCTTTCAGACCAGATCACTCTTAACACACCACAAACGACATCTCATAAGAGTTTTGAGCCAAAACAATCACTGAGATGTTTCAGAAGGGGGATAGTAGAGCAAAAATTGGGATAGACATCTTGCAATGTGCAGCAGGCATTGGTGAACTGAGTAGCAGAAATAAATAAATAAAAATAAATGACCAGGAAGAAATTTTAAGGTGCATCCTTAAAATACCTCGCTCGTTGTTCATTAAGTTGAATCAAAAGTCTTGATTTAATATATTATAATCATCTGGGCTTCTATGAACCATTGAAAGGCATGGTAATTGTATCTTATGGTAAACATCTTAACAGCAAAAAAACAAAAATGTTTTTCCGCTTATTATCTGTCTAATATATTTAGATGTTGAATATTTCTTCAGCTTTTCCCCCTTTTAGATTTAAACATATTACATGAATAAATTACAATTTTAGCAACATTATTGTTTATTTCTTTCTGTAGTTGTGTTCATTTAAAGGAAGAAAAAAACTATAACAGCTGTGTGTTATCTTTGTCATTAATTTAAGTGTTTAAAAGAATTGTTTTTTCTAGCAACACTTAAGAAAATGCAAGTAACTCATGGTGCAAACTCCTTAAAGTTTTCACATGGAGGCCATTTGAGTGCTATTTATATAACAACTTCTTTTAGCTAAATAAAAAGGTTTACTTAAGAGACACTTGTACTATAGAGCGCATTTTTTGTTAGTTCACAAGAAAAAAATTGCTCTTTGAATATCCTGATACTACAAGAAACTATTTAATAAGGTAAGATAACATACTTTTCATTCCTCTTTGGAAGCTCAGCTTTATCATCAGAGGTAACTTTAGGACATGACATGACTTGAGTCCTTAAACATTGCAGTTCTGACTTTTTTTGGTAGCATTTTTTGACATTCATTATGCATGTTTCCCAACCGGAATTTGCCCTTGAATGCCTCAAGGGCTGAGAAACCACACTTCTTAACTGTGATTATCATCCCAACATCTGAACCAGAACCTCCATTTACTTCAGGAATTAAACAGACAATCCAGCAAAATTATGTGATAATTTTAAAGGCATTTTATGTGCTGTGATGAGGTCTGAAAAAAAAAAAAATAAATAATAAAAAAAAAAAAAAAAAAAAAAAAAATATATATATATATATATATATATATATATATATATATATATATATATATATATATATAATTAAACAAAGGGTCTAGGGACAATCATCTCAGGGAGAGTGTGAAAGTAAATAACAGCTTTTAAAAAAGCTCATTTTAAAAAGTTTACATTACTCTCAAAGTCTCGGGAGGAATAAACAGCTCTTGGGGTAAATAAGCTCTGTTTGCAGATGACTGAAGAAAGGCAGTGACTTATTTCCTCTGTGCATTTGTGCTGCACCACAGTAAAAAATAGGCTCTCCTGTAAAATGCTGAAGGAGAGCGAAGGTGAAAAATCTGTGTTTGGAACGTGCGGTCAGCCTCGCTCCAAAAAGTGCTATGTTTCTTTTTTCAAAGTTAGAGTCAACAGTCCCTAAAATAAAAATAAAAAAATGATCACTGATCATTCAATAATTAGAGGAACAGGTATTTTGCCAATCGGAAAACTGAGAGGAGCAGGGTTAAACTCACATTTCATGAACATGTTCTTCAGTTCTTTAAATTCTTTTTAAATTCCTGTACTTTAAGTTGCAGCTTATTATATATCATACATTTTATAACATGGTATAAATATTATGTTTGTAATCTTTGATCATTTAGTGGATAATGTCATGAAAATACTTCAGGTCAGAATCGAGGGATAAATATTAAAAAAATTAATTTTAAAAATGCAGAAGTTGTACCTGTTTATCTGCTCCGAATTCACCCCTTTTTATTACAACTACCATCACAAAAATAATGGATCTATTTTCATTCTTTATAAATGCCTTTTTATTAATTCTTTTGGAAATTCATCTCTAGATTTACACCATCTTGACTATTCAGTTTCCCAATAGGATAACTGAAGACAACTCTGTAAATAATAGGAATAATAGGAATTGCCACCAAGCAGGAGCTGCCTAGGTAAGTAAAAAAACAGTATTGTTTTCTGTAGTCTGGAGTTTTCAGAACAGTGTGCTTCTAAGTAACTTATCCCTAACTCTAACTAAATTAATTTTTCAACTAAAAAAAAAATGTGTTTTCTCTTAATTTGTCAGAACAATTCCATTCTATATTGAGATGTTGTTCTTCAAGCTATATTATTATTATTATACTGAAGCATCTCTCTCTCTTGTCAGATTAATTTAGCTGAAATTAATGTTTCA